ACATTCATGGTGGATTTTTACCATAATTCATGCTTTGATCGTTTTTGTCTCCAATTGTCCCCAATGTGGCCAGTGGAGCCCCTTCAAACTGTCCCTCCAGTTTTGAGTCCCTCTTTATTTCCTGGCAGTGAGATGTCCCCAGGAGTAGAGCGGAGCAATTGCCACACAGATCACAGGGGTGACTCCCCAGTTCTGGGCAGGACAGAGCGGCAGCAAGTACAGCAGGTGGCGGGGGGACATTTGTTTTCTCAGGAACTTGCACAAACAGCAGGCACGGTCAGAATCTCCGTCCCTGAGCTGCTGCTCTGGTTCAGGACAGCAGGTTGCCTAGATGCTGGACTTTCGGTCTCCCCCATTCACTTCCTGCACATGGACGGGGCTTTAATGGCCGGGCAAAGACTGAAAAGCTCCGCTTTCCTCAGCAGCTTCACTGAGGGGAGAAAACGTCGAGGGCAAGCCCTGATTGTAGAAGAAAAAAACTGTGGTTCCCTGCAAGAGTGTGTGTGTGTGTGTGTGTGTGTGTGTGTGTGTGTGTGATCTGAGAGTTTGAGAGCGTGTGAGTGCACTTGTGAGAGTGTGTATACACGAAAGGACAGGAGGCAGGGGCAAGTGTGCGAATGCAGGGATGTAAACATGTTGCGAGTGTATATGGATGGGAGTGTGACAGTCTTGTGACTGTGAGTGAGAGTTGAGCGTGTGTCATGTGAGTATGACAGGGAGTGTGGGTGCATATATCACTGTGAGTACATCAGTAGTATAAGCGTGCGTATGTGACTGTTTTGCGTGTGTAAGCACGTGTGATAGTGTGAGTGTGAGTAAACGTGTGTGCGCATGTGACCATGTGTGTCGGCGTGAGTGTGTGTGTCCCAGGCACCCTTTGTTCTTTGCTGTATCCCCGTTTAAACCGAGGCACACGTGGGGTGCAGAGGAAAGTGCGGAAATGAAGGCCGCCGCTCAGTGAGTTGGGCTGAACAGCACCCAGGGCCCCAGCCGAGATCTGGAACCTTGCCACCACCCCGGGGAGCTCCTTTGTGCCCCTTCCTGTAGGTCCTCATAAATCTACCCATTTCCTGGGGTCTGGAAACCTAGACCTTTTCGGAAGTGGCCTTCAAAGCCAGGCCAGGAGTAACCAACAGTGTCACCTTCATGGCAGACAGATCGGCCAGGGCCTGCTGTCCCTCTGCAGCTTCCTGTTCACACCCCTGCTCCCAGGCTGGTGGCTGAGAAGGAAACCAAGCCCAGGCTCATCCTCTACCTAGAGAAATTATCTTCCATGACTCTGAAACCCTGATGGATGTGACGGGGGTGGGGGGGCTGCCTATCCGGAAGTGAGGCTCAGCCACTGACAGCCCCCTGAGCCCCTGCCTGTGGGGACCCCGGGGACTGAGGTCCTGTCCACCTGCCAGCAGGAGCAGCAGGCAGTGCCAGCCACCCAGCGTCCTGAGTCTCACTGTCAATCTGCCCGCTGCCCTGGGTTGTTTACTGGAAGCTGGCCTCTCCGCCAGGGTTCAAAGCCTTGGCCTTGGGCACGTCCGTGGCAGGAAGCAGGCCAGGTGGTAATTGGTGGCACAGCCTCGCTGAGCGGCCAGTGCTGACCCACCATCCTCCTCCAGCTGCCGCCTTTGAGTGGCTCCACGCTGACCTGCCAGGCCTTTGGGGACTTCCAGCCCAACACCGAGCTAACACCAGGAGCAAATTACTCTTTCCCAGAGAAATCTATTAAAAGGTGACAGCAGTTTGGGGGACAGGCGGCCAAGGGGCTCTGATCACGGGAAGCCTAATGTCCTCCATTCCCAAGGCCACCAGCCAACTCCCACCTAATGCGCTGGTGTAGAGGGAGCGGAGCTGATCTCTAACTTTGTGGGCCAATGAAAAGCGACTGAGGTGAGGTGAGGCTGCAGTCCTAGGCCTGTCTGTGGCTTCACACAGGGAAGAATGCAGGACCCACAGTGCCCCGCACTCGGTTCCATCAGCCACTTCTACTGTGTGACCTTGGGTGAGCCACCAAGCCTCTCTGAGTCCTCCATACCTATCAAGGGGTCAGGAGCCCCAGGCATGGGTTGGCAAGAAGCAAACACCCAGGACATTTCAAGCCAGGTCAGGTGCTTTGTAGGTGCTGCTGGATCAGAAGGAGACTGAATTTATTTCCTTTTCTAGGCAAAGGGCAAAGTGACCCAGAGTTCTGCAGGGAGGCCCAGAACAGGGCTAGACAAGAAAAGTGGGGGGACAGGAGCCGGGCCACACAGTTTGTGGCCTTCCCTGGGCCAGGAGCGCTGTTCCTCTCTGGCCAGGCTTGGCTGAGCCCTGCACTGCTGAGTGAACGAATAGTTAATGAATGAACTGACGGATGCGGGTCTAGATTATTGCTAGACATGATCTCCAAAGATGCTGTTACGGTTTACATCTAGGAGTCTCCGAAAACCTCACACGCTCAAAGACAGGGCTTTGGGAAGATGACTGGGTCATGCGGGTTTAGCTGACTTGCACTTAGAAGGCAGGGTCTGGCCAGAAGAGGCAGTCACTAGGGGCATGGCCTGGGAAGGTGTCTCCCCACCACCACCCCCCGGCTCCTCCCTTTACTCGTGCTGCCTCCCTACCTCCATGCAGTGGGCAGAGCTCTTCCCCTTGGAGCCAGCTGACCATGGACAGAAACCTCTACACGTTGTGAGCCAAAATAAACCTCTCCTCCTTTAAATGGTGGGTGTTGGGTATTTTGTTCCCACGACAAAGAAAGTAACTAACGCAGATAATGACATCCTTCTTAGGCCCCAGAAACCTAACCAGATACTGCCTTTCTCTATGAAAGAGACTGTGCAGGTATAAGCAGAGGGTTTCGACTGGAGGGAATTATCCTGGACTATCCAGGTCAGCCGTAAATGTCACCCCAAGTGGAGATTTGATTCCAGAACTGGAAGAACCTTGATGGTGGGTGTGGCTCTGAAGATGAAGGAAGGGGCCGCGTGCCAAGGAATGCGGGCAACCCTTAGAACCTGGAGACCAATCCTCCACTCCGAGCCTCCAGCCTTGTCAGCTCTGAGCCAGGGAGACTGGTTTGGAGCTGCCGGTGCCCTGCGGTGCAAAAGATCACTTGGCAGATTTCCGGCTGTGGAGATTTTCACACCAGCCCCAGGACACCAACACAGGAGGCAAGTCTGGGTCTTGAGAAGGACGAGCATTTTGTATAGCTGGGGTAAGGTCTTTGCGAGGACCCCAAGTGTGAAACGTACAAAGGGTGGCTCTATGGGGTGTGGCCTAAGGTCTTCGGCTTCACCCACCCAGTCGTCAATTTCCCGGGTCCCCAGATCACAGTCCTCTCCTAGCAGGACCCTGACTCAAGGCTTCAACACCTGTTGGGGCTACACAGGTGACCTTCTGGGCCACCCTTTTGCTCTTATTGTTTTATTAATTGTTATTTTTATTGGTAATGTGTGCAGTGCCTCATGATTACATTCCTCATGAGAAGATTGTATAAGTACTGACCACATATTCATCCACTCCCCTTTCCCTCCCTCCCCTCTCTGTCCATATTTTGGTCCCTTTCTCTTCTGAAAAAAGATCTATCTCCCTGTTTCCTATTCTCTTTTATTTTGCTTTTTATTTATATTTTTGAGTTTCTTAGAGAAGAGAAACCATGTGACAATTAAGCTTGTGTGCTTAAGGTCTCAAGGTGCATCCATTTTCCTACAAATGACACAATGTTATCCTTCTTTTGTTTTTGTTTTTGTTTTTGAGACAGGGTCTTGCTGTGTAGTCCAGGCTGGCCTTGAACTAATGAAGATCCTCCTGCCTCAGCCTCCTGAGTGCTGGGATTACAGGCCCCATTGCACATAAACACCACATTTTCTTTACCCAGTCATGTGTTGATGGACAGGTAGGCCATTTTCAGGGTTTAAATGGTATGCATGGATCACTGCGACATTGTTAACAGGTGCTAGGGTGCCCAAGGGTCCCTTCCAGGCTCTAACCCTGTTCAAAGAGTTGGCCAAGGCAAATAAAGAACATGGAGGTGCTACATTTGTTAAAGGTACGTATCTTACTTTCTCATTGCTGGGACAAAATGCCTGACACCCACGAGTTAAAAGTGGAAAGGTTTGTTTTAGCTCACGGTGTATACAGGTTTCAGTCCATGGTCAGCTGACTCCAAGGCAGGGCAACATGGCAGAGGACAAGGAGCCCATGGCAAGGCAGGCAGGAGACAGTGAAACTTCCTTTTGTCCCTTATTCCATCCGGGTTACAAGTCTTTTGATTGGTGCCACCCACACCCAGGGCGGGTCTTCCCTCTTCAGTAAACCCACTCAGCCACACCCAGACCTATGGTAAACCAATCAGTGGACTGATCCAGGCTCGCACACCCACAAGCCCCACCTATCAGCGCATGAGAATTTGGGGGACGCGTTGATATGAGGCGTAACAGTTGGATGAAAGGTAGGAAAAGAAGTGTCCTCTTCGAAGTGAGTGTGGGCCAGTTAAAGTAGGAAACGAAGTATATCCTGCGGGGGTGCAGGGCAAGCCGGAGGAAAAGCTGTCGGACAGCATCTTTCATAACCTATGCTGATGTCAGATCTAGGCTGTCCTATCAAAAATCCACTTGATCTTGCGCCAGAAGACTTGATGACAGCAGTCTGATTGGTTGGTACCAGGCGAAGGGCTTGGACGCTGTTCTGCGCATGTGTCCTGGCCGCAACTGACGACCGCTTTGTCACGCCCTAATCTCCTGCCTCACTATGATGTCCAGCTATTTTGGGAAGCTTCCTAGAAGGGGGGCCGCTGAGTCAAATGGAATTTCTAGGTTTTGTGGGGTTTTTTTGAGGAATTTTCATATTGATTCCCATAGTGGTTACGTTAGTTTATATTCCCACCAACAACGCAGAAGAGTTCTTTTGTCCCCTAGCCTCACCAGTATTTATTTAATATCCTTTTTTTTTTTTTTTTTTACCAGGGATGAAACTCTTGCAAAACAGGTGGCTGTGGAACCACTGAGCTAAATCCCCAGCCCTGTTATTTGATCTCTTGATGACAGCCATTCTTTCTGGGGTAAGATGGAAGCTCGGTGTTGTTTTAATTTGCATTTCTCTAGTGGCCAGCGATGTTCAGAATTTTTTCATGTGTTGATTGGCTCTCTGTACTTCTTCACCTGAGGAGCTGGGTCATCCTCAAAACGGCAGCCTAAACCGGAGGATTTAGCTAAACAAGCAAGCAAACAAACAAACAAACAAACAAACAAAAGCTGAGGCGTGGTAGCGCATGCCTGTAATCCCAGCACTTGGGAGGCTGAGGCAGGAAGATCGCTTTGATTTTGAGACCAGCCTGGGCTACACAGTGAGTTCCAGAGCAGTCTGAACTACATAGTGAAACCCTGTCTCAAAAAACAAAAAACAAAACGGCAGCCTGGCCTGATTTCAGTCCCTAAAGAAACCAGGTTCCCTCCAATGCTGCTGTGTGGGCTTTCTGTTTATCAGACCCCCCATCATCATTTTCTTTCTTCAAGGACCCCCAGGCAATTGACAAAAGCCAGCCATGTCCACAATTCCTGTCACAACCGATGCCCTGTGTTTGTGCTGTTCAACTGCTGCTGCTGCTGCTGTACGATACCATGCCACCCTTGCCACCTGTCTCGCAACACAGCCTACCCTGGGGGACTAACCGCGTGTGCCACCACAGCAAGCCAGAAGACAGTGCTGCCCCTCCCAGCTCTGCCAGTGGCTCCTGTTGCGTGTGACTGGTGAGCGAGCCGACCTCAGAATCCCATCCTCGGGGTCTGTTTTCTAGGGAGCCACTTCCTGCATCGACCGTCAGAGTGCTTTGTAGAAAAATTGTGTCCAAAAGAACAAAACCAGGAAAGCAAGGGGCCAGAGGTAAGAATGTCTGAAGAGAATAATTATTGTACTGAATTTCATTCTCAGTACACCTTTCTGTTTGCTCCAGTAATAAACCAAGGTTGAACGGATACATGAAAACCTGCTGAAATGTTCCAAAATAGAAAAGGTTTAGCAAAAAAATAAAATGATGGGACAAGTTGAAAAATACAGGGCCAGGGATTTAGCTCAGTGGTTCCGCCACCTGCCTCACAAGAACAAGGACCTGAGTTCAATCCCCGGTACCAAAAAAAAAAAAAAAAAAAAAAGAAAGAAAGAAAAGTACATAAAAGGAAATCCCATTTGAAAGCCTCCCCCTCCCTGAAAAGGTGTTGAGTTGATATCTCTCTATGTTGATAATGCTGGCCCCAGAAAATTGTTTACTTTGAGTTTTTTTGAGACAGGGTCTCACTATATAGTGCCTTGAACTCACAGCAATCCTCTTGCCTCAGCCTTCTAAGTGCTAGGTTGACAGGCATGTACCACCACAATCAGCCCTATTTTTTAAAAATTGAAGTAGTCATTAGCCTGTCACCAATTTTTTTTTTTTTGTACTGGGGATCGAACTCAGGACCTTCTGCTTGTGAGGCAGGCTGCAAAACCAGAGCTAAGTCCCTGGCCCACCAAATATTTATAAACATGTCTTCTGAGCGCATGGGAGGTTCAATTTTCTAGATCACTTCTGGCATGAGGGGACAAAAGAGTAGTGACAATAAGCTGAGAAGCTGGTCATGGTGGTGCACACTTGTCATCCCAGCACTGAGGCAGGAGGATTTCTCTGAGTTTAAGGCCAAACTGGGCTACATAATGAGATCCCATCCCCCCAAAAAAAAGAAAAAGAAAAGAAGTATTGTTGACCCTTTAGGTCTGGGGCATTTGAATGCCATAGTAGTTGCCTCCAGAAAGCCTTAAAAAAAACACACTTTGGCTACAGTCACTCCCAAGGTTCTAGATGGTGGCTGTTCTGAGGTCCAGTATGGGAATACTCATGACATGAGAGCAGACCCTCAACATGGACTTGAAGCATAGGGAAAACACATTAGACCATAAAACTACTGTTTCAAGGCACTGAGATTTGGGGATGTTTGTTACTGCAGCACAATGCAGCATGTCCTGATTGATTCGAGAAAATACTGCATGGGAAATTTCTTGAGAAAATATGCTTTCTAAATATAAAATATTTTTACAAGACTAACTCACCCTAGACTCTTATTTAAAAATTGAATATTCCTTAAGATACTGCTGTGGAGAATCAAAACCAGCTGACCAGAAGTTTGCAGAAAACCTCAGTGACAATCCATGCCTACCTACATCACTGATAGTTAAAAGAAATTAATAGTAGTAGCAGTAGTAGTAGGTTTTTTGAGACAGGATCTCAATATGTAGTCCAGGCTGACCACAAACTCATGGCAATCCTCCTGTCATAACCTTCCAAGTGCCAGGATTACAGATGTGCAAGAAATTCTTTTTAGTTAATGGGAATATTTGATCCATTTGGTCCTTTGCCCATTTCATAAGTGGCATGATCATTTGTTCATTGGTTTTTTTTGCGAACTAACTTTTGGGAAATTGGTTTGTTTGTTTGTTTGTTGAGACAGAGTCTTGCTATGTACTGCAGTCTGACCTTACAGTGATGCTCCTGCCTCAGCCTCCTGACTGTTAGGATTACTGGTGTGCAGCTTGAAGAACTAGTTTTTAGTGAAACTGATCAAAATATTGTTTTGAGAGATGTCTAGACTTGGGGACTCAAAGAACAGTCTCTGAAATTCCTTCTCCCTCTCAATTTTGCTTTCTCCTGTTTGGCTTTTCCCTAAATTGTGGCAGAGAGCCACTGATCTTCCAGCTTGGCTACCCCAGTCAGAAGGACATGACTTTCCCTGCAGTTTTAGGAGAAGACCCAATGACCCTGAGGGGTTACAGGCCCATCCTGGAATGAATGTCCTTGGCCAGGAGCAGCGAATCCCCTGATTGGTGGAGCCTAGGGTATATGTCCACCTGGGGTGCTCAGAACTCTGACTATGCCCCCCAACTTCCCATTGTGGGTTTTTCAACCAAACACTAACCTGGGTGTTATGGCTGGTATCTGATGTGCCCCCAAGCGCTCATGGGCGGGGCTTTCCAAAGGTGGCTGGATTAGGATGTGTGAAGGTGGATTAAAGGTGTGGATCCTGGAAGCCCAACCTAGGTGTGGGTGGCACCAATCAATATGCTTGCAGCCTGGATGAAATATAAAGGGACAGACAGAAGGAAAGCAGGCTTGCTACTTGTGCTGTATTCTGCCTGCCCTGCCTTGGACTGTTTCTCCTCTGCCAGGCCACCCTGCCTTGAAGCCAACCAACTATGGACTGAAACCTCTACAAATTATGAGCTGAAATAAACCTTTCCTCCTTTAACTTGTGGGTGTTGGTTATGTACTTTTTCTCAGCAATGAGAAAAGTAACTAAGACATGAGGTATGTCCAAGTGATGGTTGATTTTGTGTGTCAACTCAGCTGGGCCACACAGTGCCCAGGTGGTTGGTCAAATACTATTCTGGAAGTTTCTGCGAAAGTGTTTTTTGGATAAAGTCGGTAGACCTTGGGTGAAGCAGATTAACCCTATTACGTGGTGGGCCTCCTTCAATCAGTTGAAAGACTTAAGAGAAAGAAGATTCGCCTGCCCCAAGCATAAGCAACTCTGCCCACAGACTGGCTTTGGACTTGGACACCAGCTTTTCCCTGGGTTTCCAGCCTGCTGGCTAACACTTTGGATTTTGGATTTACCAGGTCTCTACAACCAATTTCTTAAAATAAATCTCAACCTATCTATCTTCACATCTCTCTGTCTCCTCACATACACCCTGTTCTATTCTTTAGAAAACCCTCACTAATTTACGTGGTAAAGATGACCCTATAAACTTTGCAGGTATAATTGAGGTCACTAAATTCTTAGAGATCTGCGTTGGTGTTTGTTTGTTGTTCGCAGTCCCGCGGATTGAACCCTCACACTGAGCCGCATCCCCAGGCCTTCTTTTTTGCATTTTGAGATGGGCCTCATCCCATCACCAATTTGGGCCTGCACTTTCCACCCTCCTGCTTCAGCCTTCCAAAGTACTGGATTAAAGCCAGGTGATACCAGGCCTGATTTAAAATTGGATTAATCTGAATTGTCCAGGTAAGCCCCAGGTCACCACACCAGCCCATTAAGACAGAAAAAGGAGAAAAAAGAAGCAGAAAAAGTAGCCGAACTGGGGATGTGGATCAGTGTAAAGGCCCTGGGTTCAATCTCCAGTATCAAAAAATAAAGTGGCAGAAAAGATAGGCAAATGAGGAAGAAAAAGAAATGTGGCAGAAAAGCCAGTTGGATCGCAGAGTGGGATCGGCCTGTGGGGGGCAGGAAGGCCCCAGGAGGGCAAATCATGCCCGAGGGCTGACAGGCAGCAGAGAGGGGAACCTGTCACCAACCCCAGGCACAGAAGCTGTCTGGACCCCTGTCGGGGCTTCCAAGCAGGTCCCTTGGGGCCTCCAGAAGCCGCATGACCTGGCCACCCACAGACAGCAGCTGGCAGGCACCTCAGGGACCGTGCCTTGACGGTCGGTGGTTGGCACGGCGGAGCCCCTTTGTGTGACCCAGTCAGTCAGTGGCGGCGGTGGCAAATGGGGACAAGTCGACCCTCCTAAAGTGGAAGGAGATCCCCACTTCCCACAGGGATCCCAGCCACGCCATGCCTGGAACAGGAAGGGAATGACACCCGCCCCAATGTCCAACTGCAGGGCATCACCCAGGCCCAGTGCACTGACACCACCAGGCTCTCCCTGGAAATCACCCAACCTAGGGTCTCATCCCCCCTTGGCTTATGCCCGCAGCCACCTCAACAATGTGAGTGCTGTTCTCTGGGTCCCAACCCCACCCCCTGTCCGTTTTTTGGCTTCTTCAGTTTTTACCCCACTACCCAGGTGTCCCTAAGCGATGTAGGCACCACGTGACCCAAACCCTTGCAGCAGGGGATGATGGGAGGAAGAGCCAGTCACTTGGTTCGGCCTGCCCACCCCCTCCCCATGGTTTTAAAATGCCCCGTTAATAAATGACATTCCTAAAACTACATAGGCCAAAGTATTCTGTAGTCCTTCTGGAAAGGTTGCCTAAAAGGTGGAAGAAGCACCTATTTTACTCTCCCCTCTTCTCTTTGCTGATGCCTAAAACATGATGCAATGGCTGGAGCTTGAGCAGCCGTGTGGGGCCATGAGATGAGGCTGAATGCCATATGGGCCTTGGACTGGCCACAAAACTGTACACATATGTAAAACTGTGCGTGCTTTGGTCACTTTTACTCAAATATGTGGCCACGAACAGCTCCAACTTCACATCTTTCCAACTCAGAAACCCTAGACCCAGGACACCTGCTCTTCTCACCCAACAACAAGGCACCCCAGGCAGAGCTCTGAACGACAAAGCGGGGGTCACATCGGACTAGGTGTGGGCTGCTCCGGTGGACTCTGGGTTAATGGGGGCTCCCAGAAGAGAAGCAGCCCCAGGAAATCCCTGGTTGATGGGATAGAGAATCCCCCACACAGAGGCAGGGCCAGACACGGGAGTGATGGCAGCCAGCTCTCAGGGATCAGGACCGAGGAGGGGCTGCTGGTGTGGCTCTGGCATCTTCCGTGGTGTCCACCCAGAGACCGCAGCATGTGGCTCAAGGGGACAAAGCTATGGAGGTCCACAGTTGACCCTGGTAACACATCTTAAGCCGGTGCCGGCTAGCCCCAGGTAAGGAGCACATGTCAGAGTTAGACCTGGGGTCAAAGCTACCTCCGTGCTCGTGCTGTGCAGCCCCTGGCAGATTGATAGGCTTCTCTGGGCTGCTGCCCAATTACCTGGTTCCTGCCTCAGGTCCTCGCTCCCCCACCAGCCTCCTGTAGAGTTCTCTTCTCCTCTTACCCCATCCACTCACCCCGCAAAGGTCTCCCGTCAACGGTACGCACTACGCCCAGCCGGGGTCTCCGTCTCTGGCAGCAGACATTCCAACATGGCCCAGGAAGCAATGAAACGTTCGGGTTTTCCAAATTAACAAACGCCCAAAGCAGACCACCTCCACCTGGCCCAGCCCCTCACCCTGCGTGGTCCCACGGGAGGGGGAAGGGCTGCTGGCAGGGAACAGCCAGCCCTCTCTGCCTGAGCCCCATCCTAAGGCCCTGCTGCTGGCTGCCCGCACAGCAGGCACAGCGGGGCCACCGTAGTGTCCTCTGTCCCAGACTGCCTGGACACTCACTGTCCGTTCCATGAAAAAGCTGAACGCGGTGCAGATGTGATTCTTCCGGTTGTCGAGAGCCACTGTTTTGGGGCAGCACTGTCGCGGTCACCGTGACACTGAGCCCACGGGTGGTGCGTAAGAAGGGGACTGGCTGGGATTCACACCTGTCCCGATCACCTAGCGCAGGGCCAAGTGGAAAGAAGGGCCTGAGGCACCAACTGGGGACGAGAGAAGGAGCCGGGAAGATCGGGGGGCCTGAGGGGACGGGGCTCAGCCAGGAGCCCCAGCTGGGCTTGCAGAACAAATGCCTGAGGTGAGCAGTTTCTGGGCGTCCACCGAGCAGAGGCGGCGTGGGCAGACTGTCCCGGGGCCCCCCAGAGCCCGCCACAGCCTCGGGACAGGAGAGGCCGATGCGGACGCTGGGAAGGACCTGTCCCAAATCAGGGAACCCACGCAGGAGGGGACCCAGGTCAGCCACCGGCGGGACGGAAGCGGGGACCCGGGCCGGCACCCCCTCCTGGCTCCTCCAGCTTGGATGTTTTCTCTGCGCTTGATGAAGTTAAAATAAGCCCTCTCCCGGGACAACAGGCGTTCAGATTGGATTGGCACGCAGACGTGGAGCAGTTGCCGGCAGGAGTCAAGGGACCGGAGAGCAGGTTTTCGCTGGAGGGGACGTGAGCTTTATTTCCCTCTTGGTTGCTGACAGGGAAGCAGCTGTCCTTCCCTGATTATTTTTACCTCCAGTCACAGCCTGCTGATGCAGCCGGCCTCCCCAGCACCCGCTGCTGCCTGCCGGGTCCAGGTGAGCCAGAGTCAGCTGAGCTCATGGTCCTTGAGCTCCACCTACCGCCGGGCCAGGCCCTGCCACCCTCACCACCACCCAGGCCCAGGGCCTAGGGGACAAGGAGGAGAAAACCACAGCCCCGTCCCCTCCAACCCGACAGATCTTCCCTCTCCCCACCCCCTTTCTCACATCCTCCCTCCTTCCCTCCCTTCCCTTCCTTTCAGGTGTTTGTTTTGAGCTAGGGTCTCGCTATGTAGCCCAGGCTGGCCTCAAACTTGTGATGATCCTCCTGCCTCAGCCTCCTGAGTGTGCCATGACCCCCAGCTAATTTCACTTTTAACTGGGAACAAAGCCCTTTTAAAATCTATCCTTTTTTACCCTTGAAAACCCCTGGGGAGAGGGTATGGGCTTCATTTTAAAGCTAGCAGAAGACAAATGCAGAGAAGCAGTGGCTTGTGTAAAATCCCATGATGACAAAGAAGAAAAATGAAATTTGAACCACAGTTTGCTTGATTCCAAAGTTTGTCCTCTGTCCCCTAGTTTCTGAGGCTTTGTCCATGTGTCCATTAGGGACACTCCCTGCTGCAAGTAACTACAACAGTGCTTTCAATAATGAGGGATTATTTTCTTCACATACTAAAGAGATCACTCTGGTAGGTGGTCTCCAGTTGGGGAATGTTGGTGATTTCATGGACCCACAGTCTCTCAATCTTGCTGCTCTACTAGCCTTGAGAGGTTGCCTTTTCATATACTTCTGTCTCATGGTCACAAGAAGGCTACTGTAGCACCAGTCTTCTCACCTCCATTCAGGGCAAATAGAAGGAGATAGAAAGAGGGTTTGGTGAAAGCTATGATGATCCTTTTTATCATGAAGGCAAAGTATTTCCCTAAACCACTCCAGGACACTTTGGTTTACATTTCAGTGGTAACATAAGCTGCAAGAGAAGAAGAGAAAACATGTATTTTCTGGGGACAAAGGAGAAGGGTGGTGGGAACAAAGGCTGGATCAGTTCCCAGCAAAATATGCCACAGTTCACACACTTGCACTCAGTTGACATTATGTCCCATAGAATTTTTGCTTCCCGATTTTTTTTTCCTTTTGTCTTTCCATTTGCAGTTTTCTTATTGTGGTTTTTGGCTTTGTTTTGTTTTGGTTTGGTTTTTTGAGACAGGGTCTCACTATGTAGTTGAGACTGACCTGGAACTCACTACATAGCCCAGGCTGGTCTCAAACTCACAGCGATCCTCCTGCCTCGGCCTCCAGAGTGCAGGGATCACAGGCGTGTGCCACCACACCTGGCTTCTGGTGTTGTTTTTCTTACCTCATCTTAATGACTTAGTATTTCTTCAAGTGGGTCAGTTCCGATGCATTTGTGAGACATTTACATAGCTTCCACTTTTCAATTTTATTCAATAATGTCTGAGTAATATTTTTATACACAGAGCATTTGGAACAGTATAGAATCACTTGAGCCAAGGATTTTAATGTCTTTGGTGTTTTTGATACATTTTTCTATTGATTTCTAAGAGGATTGGGCTATTTGACACTAGGTGCCCATGCTGAGTTTACTGATTTCACCACACCTGCACCGGCACTGGGTTTTGTGATTATTTTGTTTTGTTTGTTTTTTCAGACAGGGTCTTGCTGTGTATTCTAGGCTGGCCTTGAACTCACTAAGTAGCACAGTCTGGCCTCATACTCATGGTGATCCTCCTGCCTCAGCCTCCCAAGTGCTGGTATTACAGGTGTGTGCCACCACATCCAGCCTGGTCGTTGGTTTCCTTTGAACTCAAATAGGTATTTATTGTGCCAGGCTCTGGGCTGGGGATGTCACAAATAAGCCGAGACCTTATTCAGGTCACTGCACTAGTTGGTGGCAGAGAGGGGTCAGAGATGGGCTCTGACTCCCAGCTCATGCCACTGCATCGGCTGCCTGCAGCTTCCGGAGATGCCCTGGTGACCGGTGCGGACAGGCGCGTGAGAGGGGTTTCCCCACACTGATTGAGGCAGGAAGGAAGTGAGTTGGCACCGAGTACTGGGCTTTGCCCCCTGGCAGCCTCAGACAGTGGTGAGTGTGTCAGGATTTGGGGCCCAAGGTCCCACTGCCTGCCCCCCACAGTCCCCAAAGTACATACATTCAGACCCTAGAGTCACGAGGCATCTGCCTGGGCCTGCCCAGCTCTGCAGGATCAATTCTTTAGTCCATCAAGACACAAATCCTGCTGCCAAACTGGGCCTGGGCGCTGTCCGGGGGTGTGGGCAGGCAGACAATTCCCTGGGGTTTGTAGATGAACAGAGACCTGAAGCACATGTGTGTGTGGAGCCCCGGGCTGTTCTCGAGCAGAGGGAGAGCATGTGCAAAGGCCCAGAGAGAAGGCCAGGAAGGCAGCCATTCTGGCCAGAGTGGAGGGAAAGAGGTCCAGTGAGGGAGAGAGGCAGGGCTGGATCCCACTCACACTCACCATAACAGGGAGGTGAGGCTTTGTGCTGGAGGCACAAGGGAGCCACAGAAGGGTTTTGAGCAGAAGAGGGACAGGACTGGAAAGAAACCCATGAATGCTCACTCAGTGCTGTGTGGGATGAGCTATTGTGGCAGGCAAGAGAGGAGGCTGGCTCTGGGCCCATCCTAGACACTCTGGGCCCTGGGGTAGGGGGTGGAGAGCAGAGAGACTCTGCTACTGATCTTGCTATGTAGTCCAGGCTGGCCTTGAATTTACAGTGATCCTCCTGCCTCACCCTCCCAAGTGCTGGGGTTACAGGCGTGTGCCACCACCCCGAGCTCCTTTATATACACAGAGAGGGGATTCACCCTCAGTGGGAGAGGTGGGATAGAGAGACTGGTGGCCAAGCCTCAACTGCAGGGGGAGCCCAAGGTGACAACATCCCAGCTGCCAGCTCTCCCTTCCAAGATGTCTGGCTCTGGACTAGAAGTTTGGCTGGGGAGCTGAGCCAGGGCCAGGAATGAGAACCAGCATGTCCTCAGGCCACCTCAAGGCTCCCGGGGGGGCCCCGCTGCCCTGCTACGTGGACAATGAGCCCAAGGTCCCCGATGGCTATCAGTCACCCTCAGCCTCCAGGCCCTGTCCTCAGAGACAAGGGACCTGTCAGAGCTGACACCCTAAAGCCAACGGATGGCTGCTGCTTGGCAGCCAGACAATGGCTGGGCTCTATGGAGGAGAGATTAGGCCCGAGTGCCCAGGAGGGACCTCAAGTTGGTGCTCAAGGACCCCGCCACCCACTGCAGTACTTGGCCATCTCCAGGAGGACTCGGGAAAATACGGCCCCGGGGAACAGAGGGGGTTGGGCTGGAGGTCAAGAACTGAAAGGCCGTTACCCAGGCTACAGGGAGGGCTTTGGGACCGGGTGGGAAGCGCAAGGCAGAGGGCACACAAAGAACATCACAGAGCAGGGCTGAGTGGACCCCACCTTGGCCTCCGAGAAGAGCAGGCTTAGGAGGCAGACCTGGAGCCCCACTTCCCTGCCAGCGCCTTGGGGAGGGGGTCCTGTCTGCTCTCTGGGCTCAGTTTGCACGTCTGTAAAATGGGCCCTCAAGATCTGCCTTGAACAAGATGGTACAGAGCATTTGTCTGTCTTGGGTTACTAAAGGCAGTCTACTTTATAAAGAAGAAAGGTTTACTTTGGCTTGTGGTTCTGGAGGTCCAGGTGTGAGGGGCCATGTCTGGTGATGACCTCTTTCCCGTGCACCATGAGGCGAGCTGCCTTGCTCCACCTCCCCACCAGGACGCTTCTGCCTCACCACAGGCTGGGAACAATGCAGCCAAGGGACCCTGAACCTACGTATGTTACCACAAGAAAAAGAAGAGTAAACATTTGAGTTGCCAGCAAGGTGTTCATTCTTAAAAGGGTAAGTTTTGACCAGGATTCTGACTGGGCCCTGTGTCCTTATTCAGTCAGAGTCATCTTCATCCCACAGCAATCCCATGCCTCATGCGCTGTTTACCATCCATACATTATAGATGGGGAAACTGGGGCTCAGAAAAATTAGGTAGTGTCTCGGGTCAGAGTCACCACGAACTTGGGGCTGTGTGACCCCCAAAGCCTTGGCCCCAGGTCAACTAGGAATCTATTCCTGAGGCCGGCTAGGTTGCCCCAGTCTCCGTGGGCCTTTTCCCATGAGAGGATGTCCCCTCTGCATCCCCCAAGCCCTCTGGTTTTTCACCAGCAGTCTACCTTGGGGCAACATCCCTTTGTCCCTATGGAAGTGGGCATGAAGACCTTGCTCACTGTGGCAACGCTGAAGGTGAAGGGGCCAGGCCTGTGGCTCCTCCTGGCTCTTCTGCTGCGACAAGTTTATTTTGGGTCCAAGTGTCCCAGCTCTTTGATTTTCCAATCAGGTGACTTTACCTGCCTGATGGGGGTAGGAAGTGACCATAGGCCACATCCTGGCACTGAATGGCCCTCCCATCCACGGGTGGGCGGAGCTCTGGCAGTGGGCGGAGCTCTGGCAGTGGGCGGGGC